TTCCCTATACTGTAGTTTAGTTGACCTGTTCCTTCAAATAAAATTATGTCACCTATTATAGGCACAACCTGGAAGCAAGGGCCTCTCCTTAGCTACCCCCAGTCATTATCCCTGATATGCATAAACTCCAAAGCTACTACATGTTGTAACCTTAATGCCTGGCCACCTACTTGCAATTCAATTTCCATGCAGAAAAACCACCTTATTTTTGAGACAGTTATACAGCTAAGCATCAAGCTCTGACTGCTGCCTCAACACTATCTAGGAGTATTCCACTCTCCTTGCCACCACAGGACTTTGACCCAGTATGCATTCACAAAAGTCTAGTAATCTAGTCCATGTTCACCATATTCTTGGAGAATGGATTGGCACCTATTCAGTGTTCAGAAGACAAAAAAAGTCCGTTTGTGTCTGCAGTGTGATGTGTAGAACATTCACTTTATTAGGTAAAGATCCGGGTTTCTCTTCTGTTTTGAAAATATTTTTCAGGAAAAATACAGATTCCTCCTTGACCAGTGCCTCATTGATTTATATTCCAGAAAATTGGGGCTGGGGTGAGGAAAGCAACTACTTCAAGTTAGTAGCCTGGTGGCTACGGCATTTATTTTAGTGAAAGGTGTGAACTCATGTTTGCATGGCTGAAGAGAAATACTGACAAATGAGCTTCCCACATTCTGGGAAATAAGTTTTTCACCTAACTGTATTTCAAGAACCATCCATGTTTAGGAAAAGGTTTCAGGTCATCTTCTGGGTTCATCCTATCCGCAGTCCACGAGGACTCCATGAAGCAGGATTGAGTCAGTTCTTCCTGTTTTGTGGGTCATGGTAGGACTCCACCGGCTATGGAGAACCCCTACCTCCAAATACTCCAGATTGTTTTAAATCCCATTCTGAAGTGCCTCTGTCTTGTTTGCCACCACATCAAGTGTAAATTTACTAACTTAGCATCCTAATTTGGGCATAAATCTTGGCTCCATTTTGGGCACAGGAACCTAAACATTAGATTGTAGTACTTGGCATGACTAAACCCTTCAGTGGATCTACCCACTGTTTTTACAGTCACAGTTTTTATAGACTTGCCCAGTTTTACTATAGTGATGATAACTGTGGTACAAACTGGCATACCAATGTCAAAATTAAAACATGATACAAACCTGTTTGTAACCGTAAGTGCGCTTCAATGTTTTGCAATCTCTCCTCAACAGCTTGGTTTCCACAATCATGAATGGGTACACTGCCTTTGTGACTGGACCCATGTGCTCCTTCAGATCTAGTCTGAGGTCCATATGTATTTACTACCCTGGAAACTAGGTAAAGAGAACACAAATTTAACATATATGCACATGAAACACAAAGTACATCTAACTAAAACAATCAAAATATTAAAATATGAAAACCTGTGTTAAATCAATTTCACACCAGTCTCTCATGTGAAGTGTCCCACACACATTAAGATCAAAGGTTCAAGTAAAAGTATTTTCCTATTTTTGCATGAGTAACTAAACTAAACAAAAGACTAGGACTTTACATATGCAAAGTAAAAGAATTACTCATACATTCATGTAGAATGGCAGTAGAAAGAATTTGTCATCAGCTGCTGATAAATAGCAGAAAACCCGGTATCTATGTCAGCAGTTGCATATGTGAGCTGTCATGAATGCAAAGAAGAGGCCAGACCTAATATTACAGGAAGCATCATACAGACAAGAAGAAGAGGGAAGGTAAACAACTAGAAGAATTAGAATCTCAGCAAGGAAGTTCTCTTCTAATTTTTGTTACTCAAGTAACAGCTTTAATGATTCTTCAGCTGCTTCTGGGTCTATCTTTTCTTTTTTACCATGTCTTCATCAGAAGACTTTGGTCACTTCTCTTTAAATCACAGTCATCTCTCAAGTCCTTCTTGACAGGACTACCGCAGTGTACTGCAGACTTAAAGACTATGTTGGCCACTCCAGTCACTGAGGCACACACCTTCTTACTCGGCACTGCCTGAAGTGGTACATTCTTGCTTCAGTTTATGCTAGTTTTAATTCCAATTCCTTTCTAAGTGTTATTCACTTTTCAGTTATGAACTGCCCAGGTTTTAGTTACTTGAAGTGAAAAATTTTCTTTTTTCACGTAATATGCTACCATCCAAGTTACAGACTAGCACTCAGTTTAAAAAAGTGACTACTGAAAGGGGTTCTTCAGTGAAAGATTCTAATCTCAAACCCACTTCCCCATCTCCCTCTTTGCTCCCCAGACCTCTTAATGCTTATATCTATCACTGACTTCACAGTATTATTCTGAATTCTAGAATGGGCAAATAATGAATTTGCTTCTAGAACCAATATCAAGTGGATAACTGAATACTACCAGTCTCAAAAATGGAAGAGAGGGTTACTTTCATTCTCATTTTGGAGATTTTGGTGGTTTGTTTTTAAACACAGAGTAACTTGTGTACACCTAGAGAGCAGCAGATAGACAAGCAATAAAACTTCTGTTGGACAATCATTTCTACATTATTTACTCCTTTCCAAAAGGTAGTACAGCGGTAAGCTTGTTCCCCAGCTTGTCACTTCCCATAAATCTATGTCTGAGAACTTCCACTGTGTCCCAAAACTATTTTCTAATTCAATATACTTACACTAACTGAAAAATAGAAGATAATTTTATTCAATCTCAATTTCTTAACTGGACTGCTGGCTTTCCCTTAGAAGAAAAACTAAGAATTGTTCAGCTTCTCTGTCCTGCTTTATCTTTTGCATCTTTCCTTTCAGACAATGAAAATAGGCTACTTTGTCTTGGTCTTTAGTGCATAACTGTCAGCTTAATGAAGGAGTTATAGGACTGAGAACCTTGGAAATGTAAGCAGAGATGTAAAAGTATTCACTAGAGTCAAAAATCAATACGTTGTTTGCATTTTTTGAGCATTCTATAAAAAGTTTTAAAGTCAAAAATTCATCAGTGCTGTTCTATCCATACACTCTTAATAAATGGGTATTAAAATAGTTGCTTACCCTTTATATGGCTTTTAAATCCAGGATAGGGTGTGAAAATTGCATCTGTTCTGGCACAGCTATTTTCTAAATAAATAACAATAATATAAAAAGTGAGGTCCTAATTGTGTATTTAAAATTTAAAATATTCTAACCATCATCAGCTTTGAGGCTTTTAACAAATCTAATTAAAATTTTTCATACAATAAAAACATCAGAAATACTTGATTCATTCTATAAACACTTGCTCACTAATAGTTTCACACACTTGCATGGACCTACTGGTAATTGGACAAGTCACCTATATAAACGTATGCACATGTGTATATAAAAGATTACTGGATGAGGACCAAATTTCTTCCAATTTACATTTTATTTGGTTTTTACTTTTCACTGCATTTCTCTGTAACTTCCCTCTTTCTTTCTGTACAGAACTCTTTTCCCTGCTTACCACTGTTATTCTGTTCTTATGTCCTTTTTTGAAACTGTTCTCCTCCTATTTTTAGACTGGTCTAGCTTACTCATCAGCATCCTTTTCTCACCTTCCTGCAATTACTCTGACGCCTGTGACTTTTTTATTTAACCATAAAAAACTACAGTACAGACCATCTTAGTTTATTCCAATGTTTATATTTAATCTCTGTTCATATACGCCAAAGCTGTACACATATTTTATTATGCCTAAACATACAAAGGAAGGTCTTATCATCATTTCTTCTGTACGTAATTAACAATTTTAGGAAGCAGTATCTTACTATCTAGCACATTCTACTAGACTTCAGATGTCATTTTTATTCCAACTAATATTCAAGGAGTTAAACTCTCTTCCTATAAAGCTTATGGAACAATAAGCTTTCATCTCTAAAAGCACCAGTACATTGCAGAGACGATGCAGTTCACAGGTACTTAGAAAATGTCTCCGTACTACTTATGTATATAAAAATGTCTTCATTTTCAAGATGCATTTGGTTACATAGTTATGGATCGTGCTAATGGGACCCAGCTTCCCAGATGGATTTAAGATTGTTTGGTTATAGATACAGTCAATTGTGCCAGTTGGTGCATTAAAAACACCAATAGCGTGAGTAATGTTGAAAGGAAAAAGTTATTATAAGTAGCCAGTCACTCAAATTGATTGCAAAAAATATTTCTTTGTAATTTAACTAGCATTAAATTAACTTCAATTTGAATATGCAATTCACAAGACATTTCTGAAATGCAATTCTTTTGACTCTGGGAGGACCACCTAGGTAAAACATTGGGAACAATAGCTACAAAATCATCTGATTTAAGATCGCAGTTCTTAAAATGAACAAAGTAATAGCTATAATCTTTCTGTATGGGATGCATTAAACATTGCCATCCAGTGACTACTCTCTTTTTTTGTCTGTTTGACAACATCTGCAGTGCACATGCAAGTTCTTAACTTTAAAACAAAGTTACTCTTAAAATAAAGTTCTGTTTTAAATATAGAATAGTGCTTTTGAAAAATAAAAAAAAAATAAGAAAGCAACTTAAATTGCTATGAAGATTAAAGTCTGGCTAGCCAGTTACCTTGATTACAATCAATAACATTGCAAAATTCCCTGACATTATTTTCATTGATCTCAGCTTGTTTCCTCTCGATGAAGGCTGATATCCGCCTGTCAATCTGCAGGTAATAAACATGATGGCATATATCTATTTCATTCTTTAAAATTCAGAAAGGTATTTTTCTTTTTTTTTTTTTTTTAATTTAGGTAAATCACTTACTTCTGCTTTTCCAGCCTTTATTTGGACCACCTCTGGATCAAAATTAATATGAGCATCCTTCAGATCTCCCAACTCATAACTTGCATACTTTTCTTCAGTCTGACAGTTACCATCATAAACGTCTAAACTTGTTTCACAAGTTTGGCCTTCTGTTTTACCTGCAGGTTCAACACGGTCTGTATTTTCCTCTTTAATCAATGACTGGAGCTTTTCTAAAAGAGGCTGAACAAAGAAACATTATGTTGGGGTTAAAAAACAAAACCTAAAAGCCAAAAAATCCCCAAAACAAAAAGCAAAAAAAGCCAAGTACTATTACAATTTCTAAAACAGACCAACCGAAATAATTTTAGGAATTACAACATCTGCCTCTGATGTAACACAGCGATAAAATTTTAAAAAAGAAAAAAAGCTATAGTTCCAAATACTGTGCACACCATGATTCTGGCCTTTTTGGCCTGTGCCTTTTAGAGGTTTGTATAGGAAAACTCCCAAATTTCTGCAAAAATCTGCCTACTACTCATCTGTTACTAGCTAAATCAAAGCTTCAATCGTTGGCACCAACGCCACTTAATTAACATGTCATTCAAATGCCGACTCAGAACAGTAAGGCTTAGTATTTTTCCTCCTTAACACGAAAGCCAATACTTTCACACTGTAAAGCCTTTACTTTATCACCACAGCACTACATTCTCCACTTGAAACTGCAGTTGCCCAAGTGAATGACAGAACACAGACGTGAAATATATAGGTGTTATCCTGAACACATGCTCTTCTTGACATGGTTGATTATCAACTTAAGTAATGAAATTAAATGAGAGAATGCACTGACATTTGTCACAGCAAAAATAAATGCTTATTCTACTGCAATACTCTTACACAAGATGTAATACCAAAACCTCAGTACATATCTAAGTCACACCCCTTTTTTTAATTTTTACCAGTCTCATCTAGTCTGAATTTCACTGCTTATTTTCCCTCTAGAAATTTTTTTTAAAGACAACATGATTTTTACCAGTCATTTCCTGAAATGGAATCAAATTCCTACTTGCAGTGTTCTTATAGTTGGATGTAATTTTCACTTGCTTTTATCTTACATATTTTCTCTTTTTGTTTATCACACTAAAGATTTGGTGGATGCCTGGAAAACATAACGGGTCTTTCTTTTACCTACAAACAAGCAAATACAGGAACTTCCTTTTTCACCCTCTCAGTACTACACACTTGAAATAATTCACTGACGAGCTGAAGCAAAAAATTGGGTTTTCAAATCCCCACCTTTTACAGATGAACTATCAAAGTCAAAACACTGTTCAGTTATCAGCTGACAAACTGCTCACCCTCCCTGCCACGCAACTAAATTACATGTACTTTTGGCAAGGCTGGAAAGTTTCAAATAGTTAAAAAGAAATGACAGTAATGGTGACTGGCTACTTGGCAAGATGAGACATTAATGTCAAAGAAATTACTCTTTAAAAAAAAAAAACCTACGCTGAAAATATATTTAATTGCAGTAAGACACTCCAGGATGTGTCATGCTGGGATAATGCCACTTCTTGAACCACTGAAAGCACTCCATGAGCCTCAAAACTCACCCAACGCATGGAATCATTATCATAGCATGACACACACCTGCCGTGTCTTATTGCTTAATTATAACCCACCATAGATGGAAATGTATCACATTTACAATGCAAGTCTAGAAATCAATGAGGCTGCATTTATTCAACCTGCTCACCTACAGTGGTTATTCCCACCACTAATCTGAAAAATCCATGTGTGAGTCCCTATGAAGCACAGTGGAATCCCAAGCGTATAATACTGTTGCATTCTTTTTTGTTGGACATAGCAATGCAAAATCAAAATGACTGAAATTTTACACTTTAGATAACATAACAACATTTAGTTGATGATCACTTTTGTCAAGTTGAATGTGTCCAATGAAATATTTACCTGCAAACATAAAATATGCTTCTGAAGTGCACTAAAAAGCAACGCTGGCTGAAGTGCTGATGTGCTTTGAAGCTTGCTCCAATCGATTACAACTTTCACAATATCGTCTCCAAGGTTAAGCTTCAAGAGGGCAAAACAAACATAACAAAAAATTATGTATTAACATCACAAAAGCATACAAGACTTCTACAGGACAACAGTTATGCTCAATCTCAGAGACCTCATTTTTATATGAGGACATTGGAGAGGTTTGACATTAAGTGTAATTCAAGCAGCTGTCATTTTCAAAGTAAGCTAGTACTTGTAGAGTATATTAAAAAATTAAAATTTCCTTACTACCTTATCACACTTCCTTTGTATTAATTTGATCTTTAACTTCAGTCAACTCTCTCTCAATTCAATTAATTATCATACAAAACTATCCTGTTCATGTTAATCTTTTCTTTTAACAGATGATAGAACCATCAGTTTTTTTAACATACACCCAGGATGGCAGTCTCCTGTAAAGTTCATGTATTTTATTCTGAGATTTGCAAGGCTATCTATGCCTGTATGACCAAGGTCTTGATCCTGCACCATGTCATGTTCTTGAAATTTTTACTTGCTGCTAATCCAAAAGAGGCTTTATATCTAAAATAAGTGTTTAAAAAATTAAATCTTTTAAAAAATCTCAAGGTTAAACAAACACTAGACTACACAGCACCACTATCAAACCCATTTCCAAATCACACTTTATATGCATTTAAATCAAAATAACAATTGCCATGGTCTATTCTCTTTGCCAAGGAATCACAGTATTTAACTCCTAAAGCAATAAAGAGAAACACACAGTGAATCTGAAGTTTTATTTAAAGGAACTATGTATCTTCTACAAGCTAAAAATAAACTTTCACTTCCTAATACAAAGCTGATTGTTAATAATCTCTAATGAACTACACACTTTTACACCTACTTTTGCCATTTTTGTTACACTAAAGCTCTTTTCAAGATCCTGAAGTACAAGCATTTCCCAAAGCCAAGTAAGTTGTTCTCCAACCAAACAACCTGTAAGTGATCCCCCAAATTCTAAATATAGACAAAACTCTTGTTGAAAATCAAGAGGATCTACAGGTACTCTGTTTGAGACACAGAATTCCCAAGTCATATGCATATTTGTACGTCTCTATCTCACTGCCCCCATTTAAAAAAAAAAAAAAAAAGAGGGTGTGAAAAAAAAGAGAAAGAGACCTCAGGCAGATGACAAAAGTGACCTTTAACATATGGTCTAAAGACATGTAACTTCTAACAGCATCAAATATTATGGACAGGAACACAGAATGCATATGCACTTGTTTCCTGAATCCACTGCACAGTGTATGAGGAAACAATGAGAACTTGGAATGCCTCCATCACTCTAAAGGCAAAGCAGTGGACACTAAGTTGTTCTACATTAGTTTTAAACCCCAGCATTATCACAATTTCCTATGTAAAGAACTATAAGCACGTGCCTTCCTTCTTTAGTCAAAGAACAGCCTTGTTAAATCCAGCATTAGATTCCAAATTATACAGCAAAGGAAATGGTCCGACTAGATATATAACGTATTTTAGATAATTTTCACACAAATGGTTATTCCTGTTTAGTACTTAAACTACACAGGATGTAGGAAGAGTAATGTTTTAGGAAATACTAGTTTTGAACACCTTACAAAATCAAGAGTGTATTTAGAATTTAGTAAGAATAAAACTTTAAGAATTAAGCCACTGTGCATATGCTACCATCTGAAGCACGTATTTCTTTCCAAAGTTTCTAGAGTAACATCTGCTATACGCTATATTACAGTCCATCGATGGCGTAAACAAGATGTAGATATAAGTCATTGTAATGACATAAAATAGGAGTCCTACTGCAATTTCCTAATAAGCCTCCTTTTTCAAAAAGAATCAGTTGATGCGTGCCTTCATGTCACAGCGTATGACTCCTGTCCAGGTGCTTCAATGTACAAAACCAGTAGAGCTTCTGATTTAGAATAATTTAGAGGCCTCTGATATTTTAAACTCATAGACACTGGTTTTAAATATAAGTAAAGAATAAACCCCTCCTGCATCCAAACACGTTTCTAGTACAATAGAATTAGTTTTCTCAGTTTTTTACATCCTTCTACCTACAAGAACTGTGACAAGCAGGTTTACAAATTCTGTGATTTGGTAACTTCAAAGCCTTTCTATATTTACAAGTCCACAGCCTATTCTGTAGCAATTTACAGGATCATAAGTCATTTCAGCCCTTTGAAATTGTTTTATAAAAGACATCGACTGTCACTTGGGGCTTAAAGAACTTTTCATGATCAGTCATATTGGTTTTAAGAGTTGTTATGCCCAGATGTCCTCCTAGTCACTGTGCTGCAAGTGATTGCTCTAGTAAAAAAATTGCTGTGTCAGAAATATTCCTGTTTACAGTCCAACCTGCTAGCATAAATTTAACTTAAACTACTACGACGGATCACAAACTGTGACAGCTAATGATCTGGCACATGTACACTCATCTCTATAAAAGGCAAATAGGGAATCAGTAGCTTCAGTAAAAAAAATGCAAGATGGACTGCTAGAGTCAGTAAGCTGGTAAAACACCACAGTTGAATTCATGAGAACTCAAGAGCTAGCAGACAAGAGTGTAACTCAACAATTGAAACAATCATGACTGAGCAATTAAAAGGGCCTCCTCAGTGAAGATGGAGCAACCAGACCCCTACTCATAGTTCAGTGCAGTGCACAGTAAAATGGGTTTGTTGTCATGGAAAGAATACCCTCTAAACACCATTGAAGACAATTTTACTCTGCTCTATAACTACTTGAACTCTACCGAGGGGATGTAGCAACTCTAAACTGGTCTCTTGCAATTGTCTGTGCACACCCAAATATTGGTAAAAATCACTAAGCTCTCTCCAGTGACATGCTGCACACAGATCAAACTTCGGAGACCAAGCAAGCTGCTGAAGAAGAGACAGAAATTAGAGTGTTTAATGTCATTTTGAAAACAATTAATTAAACTTGTGATGAGTATCCTAGTTAAGTGCTTAGGAAACTTTTCCTTTATTGTTCTTTGTGTTTTTCATAAATACAAGAGTTCAACTTTTCACTCATGTTAACATTGTAAGAATAACAGTATGAATGACAGCATTGCATCTAGATAAACTGACAGTCACTAGTTCTTCATTGATTACATTTAGAATTTTCACCAGGAAGAATTATGGGATATTTCGTCCTCAATACAGAGGCAGTTTTCCTGTCTCAGTAATCCTATGAATCAGTGGTGTATGGTCACCAAGTTGTTTAGCACTGCACTCCTGTTCAAAAGCTAGGGTAGTTTTTCATCACTTTGGAGATAGGAAAACTGAGACTCTTACTAGTCAATGCCTGAATTTTCAGGCTTTTAATTTTTGGATGTCTTTTATTTGAAAATGGTGACAACTACTAGCAGAGTTTGAGGTAAGAAGCAAATATCATACATAATTCTATTCAGATGAGAGGTGAAATGCTCTAAAAAATAATCTTGGATCTGTCAGCAGCTGCTACTAAACTGTCTCTGTACCTAACAGAGTCCCTTTCTAAGTATTTTTGTAACATAAACATATATCAAGTTACATTATCTCCTGCAGATATTGCTCATCATCTGGTCCCAAACCTTCAAACTGCTGTCTAATTTCAGAAGCAAGAGTGTGCTTCTACTGCCTTCACAGAACTACATGTATGCTTCCACAGTGGAAAAAGAATTCATCTGTAAATTATTTATGGTAATAATTAAGTTGTTACTAAACCATCTCCTGATAAGGGCCTCCCACCACTACCGTAACATCTGTTAAATAATTCATAGCCATTACTAAACCTAAAGTAGGTGTTTCAACTTAAGTACCAGAGCAAAGCTGCTTTAAAAATTCTGACCCACTGAGATGCACCATGTGTTTCATAGCACGTTATTACCAAAGCAAGGCTAACTTCAAGCTCCTAATCGTTTACTTTGATTTAATGCACAGTAAGCTTTTAGTAGCTTTTCAATTCAGAATCATTAATTGCTAAGATACAGCAATTAGGCAGATTGCATTTTCTCATGGGAGAGATCATCCGTCAAACTACAAAGTGACATGAGACGTCCCGTCAGTAAGAGGCAAAGGCACGGCCACGACTACGAGATGCAGCAGCAGGCCCCACGCACCCGTGGGCTGCCCACGCCAGGAGGGGTGCAGCCGGCGCCACCATCGCCCAGCCCTGACAGGAGTTTCACCGCAGACAGGCGTGAACAACCTCCAGAGGCGAGGCCACTCCCCTGTTTGTGGCAGGCTTCTTTTCTCTCCGGCGCCATACTTTACCTCAGGAGCACAGAAGGCCCCCGCAGGCCGGGGAGAAGCAGGAGCACGCCCTGCTCCGGCCCCCAAGG